AATTATGCTCCTCAAATTGAAAGTATCATAGAAGGATAGACCATGAATTATGCTCCTCAAATTGAAAGTATCAGAGTTATAAAGGCTATTCTTGCCCCACTGGGTAATAGTCAACTGTGCTAAAGGAATGGATGGTGCTACATATGTCTGTGGGCCCTTGTTTCTCCTGTCCCTGGTCATATTTGTGATTAGGAGAGGATACTGTTATTTCAGGGCTGAGTTTGTGCCAATCTTACCACTTCTTCACCCACAACTATGCTGCTTGTACCTTAATTACTATACCAGAAGTGCCACAATTGGATGAATCCCTTTACCTCATCCAAATGATAAATATCTCTGGTTGAAGTTAACATTGTGTGCTTTATCTGTTCATTTATATGTGGGGAAGTACATTTTTATTGGGTTTTTGAGGAAGTATCCTGTAAAATGACATATGGAAATCAAAAAGTATTTAGCTCTGAGATTTGCCCTAGGAAAGCTGTGAAGTAGACAGAGCTCTGGTTCTGTTTCTCTCCTGCCTGCCGCATGCTTTTCTGCACAGGGGCCATCGAGACTGACGACCACATCTGTGTAGTTGCCTGTCCCTGGGGGGCCTTGGCTGCCATGGGTGTAATGCGGTGCCTGTGGCTTCAGCTTCCTGTTCTCCTCCAGAGAGAATCATTCCTGCCCCCTGCCTTCGTAATGTCTTTTGAATGACCTCATGAAGACAGGATTTTGATTTAGGATATATATTTTTTTTTCCTGAAAACAAATCATCATAACACTCAGGTTGAGACCTTCAGGATGACTCAAGCAGATGTTCTGGTGCCCATTGAAATTTAACACCAGGGGGTCCATGTCAAATGCAAACTTCTTTTTTTATCTGTTTAGCTAGTTGTTTTATGATTTCCCCATTCCCCTTTGGAATCCTTAATGAGCCTTTATGAGGAGTTTTATTTTTCCATATGCACCTACTTCTGCCACTTTGAAGTTGTACCTTCAATTCTAAAGTGCATGAATGAGCAGCTCTGCCCTCCCTGTCTTCTGCAAGAGCTCATTGAAGTGTGACTTTACCTAGGATGTAGTTTCCTTTAGTTCTAATGGGAATTAGTGTGTCGTTTCCTCTTGAAATTTTTTTTTAAGTATTTTATTTTCACTCAGGGTCTTTCTTTTCTACAGATAGTTAAATTGAATTTCAAAAGTTATTTAATATTAGTAAGAAATTCACAATAGCAAAGGAATTTCTAATCTTCTGAGAAGTTCTCAAATAGGCCTGATTGTCTCTTGTGGTAGCTTCAGGGGTTACAGTTTGTAGATTGCCCAGAGGCAGGGATGCTATGACCCTGAATGGAAGAATTAAGATTTTCACTCAAGGCAACTGGGTCTGGAGAAGGCCCTCTAGCTGCAACACAACATGGAGAGCAGATAACATCATGATGAGAGCTCATGTGTTTCGGGAAGACGGAGAGAGCAGGGTGGAGCCGGGCCCCTCTTATAGTAAGTAACTAGGGTCCCGTGAGAATAAGCTCCTTCTGAAGACAGTTCCCTTAATGACCCTGTCACCTCCCAGTAGGTTCACCTCATAAAGTCCCCACGCTGGGACTGAACCTCTAACACAGGGAGCCTTGCAAGACAAACTGTGCAGCCACCGCAGCAGCCAGGAGGAATGTCAACCCAGGGTGAGGCAGTTTGAATGTATTGAAGTTATGAATTCAGACAAAATTTCTCCTCACACTGTATTCTCCAGATCTCTAAAACCAAAGGTGGAAGGAAGAACCTCACTTCCCTCTCTCCACCTCGAGGTTCACACTTTTTAGGCCTCCTGAGAGGAGGACACAGAAAGAGGCCAGCCAGGATATGGGGAGGCTGAAGAGATATGCATCAAAGGCCCCGTGCCCCACAGAGGATTTATGGCTTTTATTGGCATATTGCCAGCTCCTATGTCAGCCTATAGGGTCCATTATGTCCCTCTCCACATATGGCCAGTTAGCTGCCCCAGTAGCATAGTACTCTGGCAAGGGGTCCTTATTGGAGGCAAAAAGGGATACCAGTCAGAGGCCCCCAAAAAGGAGAATAAAATGGATGTAGAGGTGGAGGCAGTTTGTGTGTGTTCTATCTACATGCCTGTGTGTACCTGTGTGTATGAACATGTGTGTGTGTGTGTGTGTGTGTGTGTTGGTGTCTATGTCTGTGTGTGTGCCCGTGAGTGTGTTTGTGTGCCCCTGTACCCATATGCCTGTGTGTGTTGCTGTATGTAACTGTTTTTAACGTCCAGGCTGACAAGGAGAACAGTTTATATGTACACTTGTGTATCTTTTTTTAAAATGCACTATTATATGAGTGTCCCTGTGTCTTGCTCCAATTGTCACCATAAAAATCTGTGACTGGAGTGCAGATAGGCATATGATTCCCACTAGACTTTTCTTCTAATTCAAGTCATATTTTTAATAATTAAGACCCTGAAAAGCATTAACTTTAATAGAATCCCATGAGTGTTGCCATGAGAAGCCCAGCAGCATCTTGGGGAAAGTAAGAATTAGGGTGGACATAAGAGATTTTAGTTGTTCTCCTGTGGCCTGAAAACTCCCCTCACAGGGAATGGTTTTCTCATGTGCCTTGCAGAATCTGTTTCCTCTAGGTAGAGGAAACCATGTTTTCTGCTCATAAGGGCATTTTGTGACATTTCTGAAGAGCAGGCTCTGAACTGTGTTTTCTTTCAGTTTTCCTACTTGGAGAAGTTGCTGTTGGTTCACGGAGCCTGGAGCTACAACCGGGTGACCAAGTGCATATTGTACTGTTTCTACAAGAATGTGGTTCTCTACATCATTGAGGTAAGGAAGAGGAAATCTAAGAGCATCTTTAAGTAGAGTTGTCTCAAGGGAGGGTCACAGATGATAGTGTATAGGGCTATTAGAATCCCTGTTCCTACATGCCATCCCAACTTTCACAGTGGGTTTTTTTTTGTACCAGGAAATCAAACTCGGGAACTTGCACTTGCGAGGCAGGCGGCAGAACCACTGAGCTAAATCCCCAGCTTTCACAGTGTTTTGTGCTCTTGTAGTTATTGGCTTTGGAAATTTTCTTAATAATCTGGTTTTCCTCACCATCAGCAGATTACAGACAGTCTAGACTGCTTCTTGAGACATTCTGCATGGAGCTACCACGCCTTTCACTTTCCAGAGCACTCCTCAGGGGCCCTTCTTAGTCATTTACACCTACTATCTTGCCTTTTTATTTTTTTTAACTTCAAGTGGGCTGAGTCTGACGAGTATAATTTTAGTTTGTCTGAAAAATTCTATTTGGAATGAGTCCCCAAAGGTGCCATTAAGTGTCCAAATTAAGTTTTTGATTATAGCTGAGCAATAATTGTTAAATGGTCTTCAATAAATGGCTTTTTCAAACATTCTTTTTAAAGTTAAAAAAATGCAAAAAGACTCCACTACTCTGCGCCTAATTTTCAATTTCATATTTCTAGAAGATATTAATTTGGAAACTAAGAAAATAAAACCCTTGACTAAACCCATGTGGTAAGAGCACAGACTCAGACAGTGCTATTATTGCACAATTACTTCCCTGGCATCAGCACACACTTCCAATAAAATTTAAAAAATACGAAGGTATTACTTGCATACTATTTTAATGTATTTGATCTACAATATCAGAGACTGTTATAAGTTGATTTGCTTATTTGCAAAAAAAAGTACTAAAGGTAACCTTATAATTAGTTACTTAAGTGAAAATAAATGAAATACATTACTCATTTCTCTTAAATTGTTTTCTCATAAGTCAAGGAAAGGCCTTTTACAATAGCCAGTATGTTCTCATCTTAAATATTCCCTGATACACGTAATACCAGTCACTTAAAAAATACGTTCTAGCTGGGTATGGTGGCACACACTCGAGATCCTAGCATTCTGGGAGGCTCAGGCAGAACAATCACAAGTTTGAGTCTAACTCAGGCAATTCAGCAACTTAGCAAGACTCTGTCTCAAAATTTAAAAAATAAAAAAAAGAGCTGAGCATGTAGATCAATGTGAAGACTTTGGGTTAAATCTCCCATAGCACCCAAAAATATTTTGGTGGGGGGATTAAAACACACATACTTCATGGCCTTAGGTCTAATTATGAGTTGTCTCATTATTATATGATTTGAATTACCAATGAAAACTGTAGGTAAAACCTGTAAGCCTATGACATTATTCACTGTACTTACTTGGTATTCTAACCTATAAGATGGGTTTCTCTACAGGGATGCACGGATGTATGGATGTGTTCCCATTGCTACACAGAACGTGCACTGGACGTTTCCTCCACTCTTGTCTTTCCCTCATGTATTATCTGTCCTGATCTTTTTCTCTGCAGTCACTGAGACATTAAGCAAATGTTTTAAGATAAATGTCATCAAATTGCACATTCTGCGATTCAAAAAGTGTCTTTCAGCCAGGGATTTAGCTCAGCGGTTCCGCTGCCTCCCTCACAAGCGCAAGGTTCCAAGTTCAATCCCAGGTACCAAAACAACAACAACAACAACAACAAAAATCCCCAAAAAGTGTCTTTCTGAAGCCATTCGCAGTTCATATGTATAGCCCTAGCTCATGATATTTCACTGTACAGTCTCCCACCATCTGTTTACCCACTTTCTGCATTGATAACCACTCATTTCATCTCCAATTTCACCCAAAAGGAGTCTTGTGGGATAACAGCTTTATGTCTACACAGATCATAGACATTCTACCAAACTGATGTTGAACTAATGAAACCGTTTTTATCGCAGTGCCTTGAATGTAACATGTGCTCCATTTATGTACTTTTATCTGTGCAACAGATTCTTTGTTGCTGATGGATTTTATCTAATGCTTGTTGAATGCGTCTCATAAAACTTATTCAGGCCAAAGTAGCCATTAGTTCAAGTGATTTAAAAATGAATAAAACAAAATAAAATCTGCGTTTTCATGGCGGGCCGGTTAATAGGTAAAAGCGAAATTCTATACAGTCCTTGTCTCCATCTTGTATGCTGCTGTCTTAATTTAGAGTTTTTTACTTTTTACAAAACCACTAGTTGTACTTTCTCAGCCATCTCTAATGCAGCCAAAATACAATTTCTGAAACATAGTCAGTTCTAGGAACCAACACAGTGTCTCGAAGAGAGATGCTCAGGACATTGGCAGTGAATAAGTCATGAGTGCATGTCTGTTTTCCACCTGTGCCCAGGAGCCCTGCATTCTCACAAAATCCCCATCTCCCTCTCACACATCTGCTCCTCTACAGTGTGGGACCTAATTGTCAGCAGCTTCATTTCCCACTGCATCCCACCTCTTTGTTTTTCATATGTTTTATTGATGTATAGTTAACGTACACCAAGATGCACCTCTTTAAATTATATAATTCTATGAGTTAAAACTGAAATTTATCAAGAGAAACAAATTGGCAATATTGTATCTGCCTCCCATAGGCAACGATGATAAGATGTCAAAAAGAGTTCCAGAGATGGACAGGATGATGGTTGCTCAGTGCTGTAAATGTACCGGAAGTGTAGTGCAAATGTGTGTCCTTAGAACTGTACACAGAAAATGGTTAAGATGGTGCTTTATGTTCTATCTATTAAAGTATATGCATTAAAATCTAGAAAGAAAGAGAGGGAAAGAAAGAAAAAGTGAAGGAAGGAAGGAAGGAAAGGCAAAGAGTATCACAAGCACTTTGCTGCCTTATCACCTTGAAGGAGAAAACATGTAAAAGCAGAATATATGTTTTGGGTAGCTTATTGGAGGTTTGAAAATCAAATTTTAAATGGAGTTTAGTTTTGTATTAAGCCAATTAAATGGTAAGTTTCATGGCTGTGGTCAGGTGGATCATATTTCCCAAAAGGTGAAATCTCATGGGGGCTTGAAGATGCAGAACTTCAGAGCCTGGCCACGCAGATAGGATTCCTGAAGCCATTTAGGTGAGTGCGCCCCTTGCATGTCTGCATTAGACAATGGGAATGGGAATAAAATTAGCAAAAGCAAGGGATCTGGCCAGACAGGATATATGAGTGGCCAGTGAATGGGATCTAAATAACTTAGTAGGAGTCCTATTGCCATTTCAAGCTGGGATTGATTCCCTTTTTCATTTTGGAATAGGCAAGTTACATGGTAAAAGTGATTTCAGAAAATTAAATATGTAGGACAGAGAGTAAGTAGAGAACTTAAATGTAATTTTGCGATTTTAAGCCTGGGGCATAAATCATGACCCATGATCATTGTGTAACTATCTGACCTTGTAATTTATAGGCAGAACGCAAGGTCTGATTTCTCTGAACTCTTTGATTTTGACAATGGGAAGACTTTTCCTTAAATGCAAAATTGGGGATGAAGAGGGTAGGTAAGGATTTCTATAAATTCCTGAAGTCCTGATGTGAACTCTTTGTTCAAAAGAAAAGGTTGACAATGAATTCTTTAAAGTTTCTACATTAGTCAGTAAACTTGGAGTTAGTTATTCAGTATTTCCTCAACAGAATACAGCTTGAAAGCACAGTAGCAGAAGCAGTAGCATTTTAAGCATTGCCTAGTTTTGCATTCATCCAGGGACTTTAAGAACCCTAGGAAAATGTCATTTTTAGTGGTAGTATAGCTTAAATAGAAAACTTGAATTTAATATATATTTTGGAAAAATCCTGATATGGATCTCTTGTAAACTTTGGTATAACATAAACATGTTATGCCAAATTGTGTTTGAAGTAGAGATGAGACTTTGAAATTATCATGGTGATTATTACTCGGTGATTTGTACATAGAGAATAAACACATTATACAAATACTTATGTGAAAATACAGAAATAATATGCTACTTGGAGTGTCTTCTTACTTTTGGCAACCTGTATAATAAATTTTAGTATTTTCTTAACATCATTATAGTATTTTCTTATGTTATGGCATCTAGGCCAGGAAAAGGGAAGCATAATTTGCAAGGAGGTCTGGGAATATTATCACTGAATGGAAAATAAGGATTTTAAGTCCGTAGCAATTTTGGGACCCAGCATAACCCAAGCAACAAAACTTAGTAGACAGCTATTGAAAATTTGTCAACATCTGACACATTCAAAACAAGCAAAAAACTTCTCTATGATACTGCAGGATGTGAAAAAGGGCTTACCAACATTTTGTTTCTTGTACATTCAAATTTTAAAAGTATGATTAATTATAGTTTATATATAAATTACCACCATAATCCAAAATATTCTCACCAGATGAGTTCTTGGAATTTTTTTATTTTTGAAAACATAGTCAATATTCCCTTTAGCTGTTTTTATACCTTTGTAAAGTCATTGATTTTGGAGTGGATTTTGCTTTAAATGTTAAAATCCATAGATAATTGATGTTCAAAACCATGATAAAAAAATTCATGTAGTGACCCCCCCTTAAATATAATGTATGACTTAAATATATCTTCTCAAAATATGTTTCACTCTTGATTTGTGAGAGATTTTATTATAGTAACAAACAAAATTCCTAAGCTGAGCTTTCCTCCTATATCTGGTGTCTGATTTGGAAGAGGTGGCTTTATGTTTCCAATATGATTTGAAGGGCTAGACTGGCATGGGAACTTAATGTTCGTATGTTAATATGCAAAAGACAGGTTAAAAAGGCCTTTTGGCAAGTGCGGTGGCCTCATCAAGTGTGCAAAGCATTCATTCTCTGTGAAAAGCTTTGATCAGATATTGGCCACCTGGTCTATTGCAGGTGCAGGGAGTAGTAAGACTGGGGATAAGGGGACAAGCTCTGAAAAACTCCTTATCTAAGGGAGTGGGAAGGGGTGAATATAGTATAAGGGGCCCAGTATTTGTGCACATGGA